TGTGGCGAAGATTTTTGAGCCGGGGTCAAATTCCCCTTAAATGTTTCAAAAGTATAGATTGCATAGCTCCACTATTCTTAGCATGCTCAATACATTTCCATTCGTAATTTTTTAGCAGCTTGAATGTGCTCAGCCCCATAAGTATCAATTTTGCGTGGAGCTGTGCAGTGGCCGTGGCTGATCAGAGATGAAGCAATATTTCTGAATGGCAACTGGGGTTTCGAGAGTCCAGAAACATGGACCTGTCACTTGAACCTTGTGATTTTCATCACAGGGATAATCTTCGATCATAATCAAACGCTTTCAGCATCTTTGGGGAAGAGGTGAAGAAAATTTTGGCAGCACTGTGCATGAACTACATTTATGACATCATATCCCTACTTGCCAGCCAACTGTCTATTCAACCATTTGCTACCCGTCATCCATGGACAGCCCTGCTTTTTTGGGGTCACAGCTGCCGGTGCCAAGGCCATGCCTCTATCTTCCAAACGGCTCAGAAGGTCCATCCTCAGAACCTGCCAGACAGGTGCGATTCGAGATTGACGGAAAACAATGGGGTGACATCCCAAGAAAACATTTGGGGTGCAGTCGAACAGTTTGTTTTGGCGAGTGCCCGAACGATCTTTGAAGGGGTCCTTTCAAGCATTTTTGATAATTTGGGGGAATCCTTCTTCAATACCGATTTCTTTCGATGGGCCGCTGTACCCATAGCACATAGGGGCTCTCTAGCTGCGTGGCATCAGCATAGCACGGGTCTTGCAGCCATGCGTGCGTGGCGTGAACATGAAGTGCTACTACGGCTGTTCCGTGCCAGGCTTCCAAAGGCTCGTCCAAACTTAAGGGATTGTCAAATGACAGGGTTGGCCATGTATCGTCAGCAACCCTCACAAGAATATTTTTGGAGCATGCGCCCATCCTACAGTTAAAGAGTTCTTCCAGTGAATAATACTTGATAAAGAAAATGGGAGCACATGTTTGAACCAAAGCATCTGAGCAAATAGCCTGTTGGAGGCAGTTGCTGTGACAATTCTGCTTCTACTTTGGTCGCAGAATCTTGAAGTCTCCCGTGCACCATGGCTGGATTTATAACATTCCGTGACCGTGAGTCTGATATTTCTAGATGTGCCAGTGTCATGTGCTGTTTCAACAAATATTTGGTTGAAGATCTTATCCTTCTGGCCCCATCGAGGATTGGAGATTTGTGGAGATGTTTGCCGGGGAAGCCAATGTCAGTAAGTCCTGCCGCATTCGTTCCCTCCCTGGGGTCAGCTGCGACTACATCTTTGGTGGTAAGGCAATGGATTTGCTAACCCCTGCGGGAATGTCGCCCTCTAGCTCAAATGGTGGATTTTTGTTGATGATAATAATTGTCTGTGAATATGGTTGGTATGCCCATACATGTCATTGAGATTCATTGAGTGCCCCTTCAATACTTTTACCATTCCAATGTGCCTCTTCTCTCGGACCCAGCTTGGCTCTGAGGCTTGCAATCCTGGCAGTCTTGCGGCTGGAGCCAGATTCATTGGGGATCTTGGCTCCGGTGTGTAGCTCTATGGGGTTCCTAGCTTCTTCGATATCATTGAGGTCCTTTATGTTGCCGCTGGGGGATGCAGAGAAAGATTTCGTGCAGGTAGGTAACCTCCTTGCTATACGGCCCCCAGGCTACAAATATAGTAGTATCTTTAATTTGTATCAATTTGTCATTTTTCTCACTTATGCTGTACAGAGCATTCCACAAAACCCTTCATGGCGGCCTGGTGGGTGACTATGGCCACCTGCTCTAAGGGCTATAGTCCTTTGTTGGATCTTGGTGGCACTTGGCCACACGTTCATCTTAGAGCAACCTGGGGGTTCAGTCTTTCGACATTTTCCTCATTGGAGATATTTCTGCAAGTACATAGCTGTAGATGCTTGGATTCAGGTTTCAATCATTATTTGTTGTTTCTCACCACTGGCAGGTTCAACAAAGGAAACCTTTTTGAAGCGGCGGTGATGTTTGGGGGGATTTGGGACTCCTCCCCAACCACAAAAAAAATCAACATTCTTGGTTCACTTTTTGGGGCACTCTGTCACGTAAGGATTCAGTTCAAAACAGGGTCCCTTTTTGTAATATGAGCATGGTTTCCCATATTTACTGTGGATAGTGGGATATGTTATTTAATAGACAGTGGTGGGTCCCCTCAAAAAGGAAAGCATAAGGAGCCTTGACTTGGCTAATATGTGATACTTCCTTGCCGCACCCAAGGTGTACCGGCAAGAGCTATGGATGCGCCATTGGGGTGCTGAGTCTTGCAAGCGTACAGCCCTCTGGTCGAACAGTTCCCATGTCAACCAGCTGGACCTTGGAAAACTATCGAAGGACTTTCTATGGGTAATCCAGCTTTAATTTAATATCCAAAATGGAATTGCTATGGGCTTTGCGCTGGATCAGACCATCCCCAAAAAATCCACCCTTTTGGAATGGTGTTTCTCTTGACCAAGGGGTTTCAACGAATTGTGTTTGAGTGTTCTACGCACTATCCTTAAAAACAGAAACTTTGCCCATCTGCCAGGAGCAGAAGGTTACTGCCATTCGCTTGGCCGAGCCTTATGTTGACACCAAAGGACGGAAGCGGGCCACTGGAGTGAAGAAACGCTTGAAGAAGTCCCAGACCTTCGCATGCATGTAAGCCGACAAAAAAAACCTACAGTAGCCTTGTGATTTTCGTAATTCCATTCCCTGCATTTGCCAAGGACTTACACAGTTGCCTTCGGTGACAAAATTGCTGAAATGTTTGATCAACTACCTGCTGGCCGCCAGCCATTACGAAATCCACAGGCTTGGCCTTTTGAGCTTGAAAACCATTGCTGTTCTAATTTGCCTCATGCCTGTATGGGTATTCCAAACATGGCGATTCCTCAAAGATAGGTTGTCCCTGGTGACTTGTGGGGGTTCTTCACAAAGTTACGTAGGTATGTGTTTTCTCAAAGATTGGTTTCCTCTGGGGCTATGAATCCTGTACACTTTTGTTTTCAATAAATGTCTTTTATCAAATGTTTATGTTTGGGAAATGTGGGGGTAATCCGTCATCCTTTGATATCCTTTTGGGGGTACTGCCCGCCAGGACAGTGGAGAAGCTTCTGGCCCAGCACTGCTAGCGGCCCTCACCCAATCCGAACTTGGGATGCGGCCCAGATGGACTCTGTTGTAAACTACCTCAATTCGAACAGATTCCTAGCCATCCCAGACCAATACATGGATGCTTTAAACCTAGAGCTCTAGAAGGGCCATAGATGGTTTCCCCTCAATGCTTCCATATTTCAGTGGGGGACCAATAAACCAAATATCACATGCTTTATGGATGAGTTTCGCCCTGTTCAAAGAAGTTGGGACCTGAGGGAACACCATGAAACTGCAAAGAAAAATTATTTGCAGATTTGACAGCGGTTTGACCCTGCTGCCCTGCTCTGGAAAAGAAATTGGTGTGCATGAAGCTGTCAGTCAAGATTATTTTCTTATCCACCACCCATGTAAGATGGTTGACCAAAAAATCCCAACTTGGGCACTTTCTTAAAAAAATGCCCGCGTAAGAATGCGTAAGAAAACCAAAAATATAGCTAAGAAAACCAAAAATCCACGTAAGAACGCGTAAGATTGCGTAAGATTTTTTTGGGACCATTGTTTCACTATTTTGTGATATTATGTAGAATTTTGGTTTTCTTACCCAGGGTCTTGGTTTTCTTACATGTGGATTTTGGAATCCCAATCTTGTTAAGGGGTCCGACACTACCCAGCAGCTGCTGCCAGGTGCAGCCTCTTCATCATCCAAAGGTGCGCCCTCTGACCCATGCCTGGCGGGATGGAGTCGAGCCCAGGGAGCAAATCAAATTGCAGTTTTTCCTAGGATCTTGAACCATTTTGGATCTTATGGTGGTATGCATGTTGGAACTCAGCCTTTGGATGGTTCAACCCATTTGGTGGCTAGGGCCCCTAGTGGGACACAGGTGGCCATGGCAGGGTCGTGTGAGAGCTTGGTGGCAGGGGCCCGCAAGCTTGCAGATCAACCCCAACCCAGCACCCCGAAGCGTGGCTGTGATGTCCCTTGCATCCAAATTTTGGGGCTTTAATGGAAACACTGTAGACAACTTTCGTGAGTCAAAGGCCAACAAAAGAACTTAACTGTCCCCAAGCTGTGTCACTGTTGCTTTCTTTAATGATCCAACCTCTTTTAACTTCTGGAAATAAATGTGTACATTTTGGATTCGATCTATTTCATCATTCATATAGCTCTGAGGTGAAAAAGGAGCTTGAGGAGACTGCGGTGGCTTTCTCCCCGGAGACCAATGCTTTGATCAAGGGGCTTTCAGATAGTCCTGAAAGTTTGCAACTTAAAGCGGAGATCCTACGGGCTGCAAATGAGTTGAAGCGTGGACCTTTATCTTCAATTACAATGGTGGGTTAATCACGGTAAAGGTGACTGCGTCCCTCAATGTCGATAATCTATACACTGCTTCACTATACAGTAACTGTTTTGAGTTTTGATACCATACCATATCATAACCATTCCCCCGCCAATCGCCGAGGATATTCCAGTGGCTCCGCTGGTGGCACTGTGGTTCCTCCCCGCGAGTCCCAGACTCTGCCTCCGCAAAAGGAGGTTGATGAACCGCATGTCAAGACTGAGCCTGGGCCACCGGCAGGGATTGAACTTGGCACACATGAGAACGCCTGCAAACAGTTAGAGGAGACCATGATGAAACGCTTGGAGGAGAAACTGTTAGGCCTTGAGACCAAGTTTCTACGAGAACTTGAAGACAAGAAACGGAAGGCCCACGAAGAGATGATGTTTGAGCTGAATGAAAAACGGAGAAAGATTGATGATGAAATTGTTCAGTTGGAGGAGGAAAAACTTTTGCACGAGTCAAGGCTTGCCATAGCTTCCGAGCAACTTCAAGAACGTATGGTCCTAGTTGCAGACGAGCAACAAACTTTGGATGAGCTAAGAGAGAAGAGTAGAACTATGAGACAGGAACTTGAGGCTGCAGGACGTGAGAAAGAACAAGTGTCGAACCAGGCCAAACGTGAAGCTCAGGAGAAAAAGGATCTCTTAAGGCAAAAACTTGAAGCAACTGCGAGGAAAAATGCTGCCCCTGAGTCTGTGTCACCTAGCCCTGCTTCAGTGGCTTCTCAACCTACTGTCTCCCCATTACCGCCAGATGATCGGACTGGAGGGGAAACTGTTGCCCTGGTTTCAGACCAACGCTTCACCAGTTCCACACATCCTCAAGCTTGGCATTGCCTTTACCGAATGACAAGAAAGGCTGATTCTTGTGATGCGGAAATTTACAAGCTGTGGCATGAAGGTGGGGTTATGTCGGGCTATTGGATGTGATTTGGTTGGTTGAAAGGTTGTTCAAGTTTTGCATGCCCCAATTCCAACTATTAGCTGTTCTTTTGCAAGTGGCTAGGTGGTGCTAAGCGGGACCAGCTTCTGAAGGATTTCGTATGTCGCTGCTACACTCCGTCGGACGACTTCAACAAGAACAAGGCTTTTCAACGCATGGGTTTTCACATGCGCCCCCTTACTCTTTTTTTACCATGAACAAATGGACATGTATACATCCATAAACAAATGTGGTCCCAAATAAGCCATTCCCAAATATACCACTGTTTCCGTATATTATCTTGTTTTACAAATTCGTGATGTATATGACGTGTGACTTCCCCATTTCAAATTGAATATTGGAAGCGATAAGCATTACCCCTTGGAATAGTATTGTTTTGGCATGTAACCCATCATTTCATATCAGCACCCAGCATCCCAAGGAACCCTACACCTCACGATTCAGGGTTTCTTCTTGCTCATGGCTTATGGAACGGTCAGTTTGATTTTTTTATGTTTGCCCAACATCAATGAACTCTGTTTGAATCAACTCAACATTACAAATCCAAGTATGCCCTTTGGTGGTATGTAAACGAAGTCGGGATAGTTCAAAAGGATTTCCAAAGGTGGGGACAACCAACTCCAGGCCAAGCTGCATGCTTTGATCACCCTCCGCCAGAAGAGCCGGCACTGGCGCCGCAACCTCCAGGGGTATAGTTGGCACACCGAAGATGATATGAAAACCATCTTGAAGTGGTCACAGCCTCTTTGCTAAATCGGTTTTGAGTGACTTCCATTGTTCAAACATGTGTGTGGAAACCTCTTCGTGCCAGAATGATTTCTTTTCCTCATGGTGCCATCAAAGGCAGAAGGTGGAAGGCGCAGTCAAGTACTGCACAAAAAGATGACAAAGACCGGGTTTGCTGAACATGAGAACTTGCTGTCTGCTTGGATGTTCTTGGTGTAGGAATTCATAAGCTATAAAAATCTATAAAGTTTAGCCTCACTGTTTTACAGTATGACAATCCATTGAAATTTCACCACCTTTCCCTTTTCCAATATTTGCCCAAGCCCGACCTGGACAAACAGTGCGGTGCCATGTGCTTCCTTCCAACCTGCCAGGAGGTGCATCTACGACGCGAGCTCTCTGAAGTACTTGGTTCAGACCCGGGATGATGTGGAAGCGGGTGATGAAAAAATAAAGGAACTTGAATCTGAGATGAAAGAATGTGGACTGTATGATTCGGACTTTTCACTGGGGGACTTGCTGGATGAAGGGGAGGAAGAAACTGGTACCCCCCAGCCTGCCAAAAAAAAAAATTGGAGGACTACCCTGCAATTGAAGGAGATGAGACATTGACTGAATACATTGGCCAGTATAAACGGGCCTGCCTGAACAAGAAGGCCATGTTGAAAACCACCAAAGAACGGTTGGAAAAAGACAATGTCAACGTCGCTGAATACAAGTTGCTTGGTTGCAAAAAGTGCAGTCTATAGCATGCTCATTTTGTGATTGAACTCACTGAACGGGTATCTTCCATGTTTTTAATAGATTGAAGAAATTGGAACTTCAGGAAGGACTTCGATGCTCTGGCTTCCATTGGAGGCACCCTCAAGTTGATAAACCTATAAATCTATACACTGTCCACAAACTACATTTGACAAAAGGACAAACTAAAGTGAACTCTGTCATTACATTGCCGCAGGTGAGCTGAACGACTTGTACAACGAGATATCGAAGATCGAAGTGACCCCGGCTGGAAAGGAGAATCTTTCTTGCAACCTGGTGGCCTCTTGGGAAACCTTCTAAGATCATCGATGTCAATGGTGTCCTTGTCATAGCGGACCTTGTGGATGAGGGTGGCTGGCTTTGAGTTTCATCACTAATGGCCATGCCTCTAAGGAAACGAGCATATGCAGATGTGAATGAGAAGATCCGTATAGCGTGCTCTTCTCAAATTTATTCCCAATGATGTGGTTATGGATCAACTGGTACGTGTTACATAGCTGGGGTTGATGAACGTTCAGCACCAGCAAACAAAATATTCACTCCATGTCATAACTGTTACACTTTACTCAGGTGCATCCGCTTCAGCAATGCACACTCCCAGGTGAAGAAGCTTGAATGCAAAAGTGGAATCTGACACCTGTACTCTCATCAACCGTGTTTTTCCCACTAGTTTGGCTCAATCACCACATGTCCCCTACCATGCATGCATTGTCGTCCAAGGACCTACTTTGTCAAGACAGCATCGAAGGCCAAGGCCAAACCCAAGGCTGAAGGAAACAAGCCTGATGAGGTCTCTGTGCCAGCACCCTAAACTTAAGGGTTTGGGTTCTGGACGATGCTGGTATATGAGCGAAGTAAAGTTTTGGATGTTCATGCCAAGTGGCAATTCAAGCGGTTCGGTCAGTCTCGTGGATCCATGGCTCAGGAAAAACATGCTGTTGACTAGTCTCTGATTGACATATTCTCCAACCTGTAATTTCTATAGCATGGTTCCAGCTGATTGAGCTTTAGGTGGCAGTGATTGACTGCATGTAGGCTTCCACGCCTGCACTAAAAATTTCATGTGCGCTTTGGCAAAAAAAATCCGTGAGTGAAAGCCTAGAATTTTGCCCACAATGAAAAGCCTCTCATTGAGCAATCTCTTTTGGTCGCTCCATGTATATACTTTCCAACGCCCTCCAATTTGAAATCAATACCACCCTCTAACTTTTGTTTATGGTTATATGGCACCCTCATTATGCACTATAGTCTATTGTCATCCTCTAAAGTTGCCCCCTCGCAGGTGATGATCCTTGCATTCCAGATTCAGTGGATGACATCTTGAAGACCTTTGTCGCCCCTGAACTCGAACAAATTGTGACAGAGGTGGGAAAACAAGAACCCCTTAACTCAGTCCTATTCTTGTTTCAGGCTTTGCCTGTGTCGGTTCACAACTGGCTTGATTACTTTGGGCCAGGGTTCAAAGTTAGTCCAATGCTGTTGATAGACGGAATCCTGCACAATAAGTTATGGTTGATATTGACTACATTTGGGTACTCCAAAAAAATGGGTTTTGATCCTTCGTTGGTGATTTGGCCCACTGTCCCAAGGCTACGTCGGCCACTGCTGCTGTCCGGCAAGCCAACAACACGAGCAGAGTTGCAAAGTGGTCCAGCGACAAGCTCCACTTAGATGAGTTCGGGGAATTGGATGGGAAACGTACTAGCAACAAGAACCGGAATTTGGTGAAATGCCTGTCCAAGAGAGGCTTCATGCTGGGTGCCCCCATCACCTACATCAAAGGGGTCCGGTTGCCAAAAAAAATGTTGTTTCAAACATGGTTGCTTCTTTGTCACTCGATGGTCAAATGTCATATGACTTTTAAAGAGGCCACTGTAATGTCAACCCTGAAATTGGTGAACTTCCAGCATATCATAATTTAAAAGTAATGGGTACCCCCGCAAATGATAACTATTCATGTGGTATCCTTTCAATAAGCCAGTGGTTTATTATTCCGGATGCTTATGGGTTAACATTACTTTGCCGTGCGCACCTAAGGGTTCCCTTCAAATGGGTTGGATGACAATGGATTATAATACATCCCACTTCATGCTTTGATTTTTTGTCGATGGAATGGACAAAATATAGATGTATCAGCGGGAAAGGAGTCCTCAACAAACAATTATAAACAATTCATCAGGTGCATTATTTTTCCACTATACCAAAAATGGAAATCCACATCTATCCATGAAGACACCTTATGCAAGTAAAACATATAGCATATCCAACTTTGCTGGTGACCCTGAAGGTTAGATACTCGATGTGGAAAAGGGGAGAAGATCAAGGAAAAAAAACAAGGTAGAGCATACCCAGAACCATCCAATCCTACGAATTTGGGACATGGCTGACTATTTGCTGAACTCCAAGTACGCTTACAAGCTTTTGGGGTGTGATATCGGGGATGCTCCAACCTGGAAGTCTGAAGTCCTGGTTTTCTGGGAAAAGTTTCGCTGTGTTCCTTGACACTGTTTGTGGGTGTAGATGTTTCTCATTAATGTTTCCTTATTTGTTTTCAACTTTGGTTGACCATGTTTGTACGGGTGTAGATGTGATAGTGTTTGTAGGTGTATGTAGGTGTGTAGATGTGTCTGGTTTTTCAATCTTTGGTTGGCTGTGTTCGTAGGTGTGCAAAGTGTTGCCCATTGTTTCTTGTCAACATTGTTTGCTTTCCAAAACCTTCTCGTTTGCTTTCGCCTTTCAGGTTGATGGTGAGCATGATGTTTTCTCCCGTCACCCTGGTCCCGAAGAGTTGAGCTACTGCTTGCCATGCCTGATGCATGGTGATGAGGGCGTGGGGTACAGGAGGAAGCCGGTATTGCAATTGTTGTGGGGGCCTCTTCTGAGGGTTGGTCTTGGTGCGGCAAACAGGCTTTTCCTGATTACCACTTGTCCTCACAAGTACTACTCTGGTTACAATGAGGGCACAGCTGCGGGAAATCCAGTCGTTGATCGACTCATGAAGGAGTGTGGGCGGTCTGCCTGCAAAGCTTACTATCAGGGGATCCCTACAAAGTTTGGAACATTCAAGCTTGTGTTTCTTGGGCTTGCTGGGGACCACCCATTTCAAACGAAAGTTTGCGCAAGTTTGAGAGGCCACCTTCGAAAAGAGATTTGCCCATGGTGCGAAGCGAACACTTATGATGTTCCTTTTGAAGATTGCTCATCTTCTGCGCGCTGGAGGAAAACTTTGTTTCATTCAATGCCATGGAAGGTGCCACCACCCTTTGCCATTGTTCCTGGTGGTGACCACCCCTCTTTTATCAAATGGGACCTCATGCACATGGTTCCACACGGTTGCGCGCGCAATTTCTGTGCGTCAGTGGTCTGCATGCTGTGCGGGCCCTTGGGTTTGTTTGTGCCATTTCCAGGGTCTGGTCTGAAAAAAAATCGAAGTTTACAAGCTGCTTACAGTTTGCTCGAGTCTTGGCTTGTGTGTGTTGGCAAAAGCATGCGGGACTTGAAAGAGTTCACTCCGGAAAATTTACAGTGGAAGTTGAACCGTGATTTCCCTGATAGCACTTGCAAAGCCAGTGATTGCACCCTTCTGACTCAATGGCTCCTAGACCTTATTGGCACGATGCCATGGGAGATGACTGAACCTTTGAAAGTGGCCTATGAGGGCTTGCAATCATTGGATCAATTCCAACGTTTGTGCTATTCTGGTGACAGGTTGTTCATGGACCCGGCAAGGCAGCGTTCTACAAGGGATGCGCGCGTTGGGTTTTTGAATGCGTATTCAAAGTTAGCTGTGTATTGGCATGGGCAGGGCTGGTGTCTCTTTGGCTTCACACCGAAGTACCATTACACAAGTCACTGGGACCACGAATTGACAGAAGCTATCAGGAATTGCCTTGAGTGGGCATGGAATCCGGGTGCCTTCAGCACACCAATGATGGAAGACTTTGTTGGTCTTACTAGCCGAATTTCGAGGACAGTTCATGCAGGAACAGTCCCGTTGAACACGATTCGCAAATATCTTCTGGAGATGCGCAGGTTGTGGTAAAATTTCTGGCAGGGTGTGTGTGACGGGACCAGGGTGGAGTTGAAGTGGAGTGTGACTGGTTTGTTCTTGTGGGTGAAGATGGGATTTGTTTGGTTTGGACTATGTTGTGTTATGTCCCAAATTCTTATGAACAATTATTTTTGGTTAAACCAAAAATTTTTGAACATTACCAAAGACCAAGAAAAAGTCATACTTTGGAGGCTGCAGGTAGCTTCAGTTTTTGGATCCTGATCCTCCAAAACAGTTGCTTCGCAGCGTATTTGCATGATCTTGGGACTAAATCTAGATTCAGTTTTCGGATCCTGATCCTTCAAAAAAAAAGGATGAAACAAATGTATACAAATGTCTACAAAAGCCTCTAATCCACGATGTGAAATTAATTTTGGAAATCTTACTTTTCGGACCCTGACCCTCCAAACTACCTGGTTTTGAGTGTTTTTTGTATGATTTTGGGACTAAATCCAAATTCAGTTTTGGGATCCTTATCCTCCAAACCACCTTGTTTACAGTGTATTTGCATGATCTTGGGACTAAATCAAGATTCAGTTTTCGAATCCTGATCCTCCAAGCCAGCTGGTTTGCAGCGTATTTGCACGATCTTGGGACTAAATCTAGATTCAGTTTTGGGATCCTGATCCTTCAAAAAAAAAGGATGAGACAAATGTCTTCAAAAGCCTCGAATCCACGATGCAAAATTAATTTTGGAAATCTTACTTTTCGGACCCTGATCCTCCAAACTACCTAGTTTTGAATGTTTTTGCATGATTTTGGAATTGAGTCCAGATTCAGCTTTGTTATCCTTATCCTCCAAACTACCTGGTTTACAGCGTATTTGCATGATCTTGGGACTAAATCCAGGTTCAGTTTTCGGATCCTGATCCTTCAAAAAAAAGGATGAAACAAATGTATACAAATGTCTACAAAAGCCTCTATCTAATCCACGATGTAAAATTAATTTTGGAAATCTTACTTTTCGGATCCTGACCCTCCAAACTACCTGGTTTACAGCAAATTTGCATGATTTTGGGACTAAATCCAGATTCAGTTTTTGGATCCTGATCCTCCAAACATCTCCAAACCACCTTGTTTACAGTTTATTTGCATGATCTTGGGACTAAATCAAGATTCAGTTTTTGGATCCTGATCCTCCAAAACAGTTGCTTCGCAGCGTATTTGCATGATCTTGGGACTAAATCTAGATTCAGTTTTCGGATCCTGATCCTTCAAAAAAAGGATGAAACAAATGTATACAAATGTCTACAAAAGCCTCTAATCCACGATGTGAAATTAATTTTGGAAATCTTACTTTTCGGACCCTGACCCTCCAAACTACCTGGTTTTGAGTGTTTTTGCATGATTTTGGGACTAAATCCAAATTCAGTCTCCAAACTACCTTGTTTACAGTGTATTTGCATGATCTTGGGACTAAATCTAGATTCAGTTTTCGAATCCTGATCCTCCAAACCAGCTGGTTTACAGCGTATTTGCATGATCTTGGGACTAAATCTAGATTCAGTTTTTGGATCCTGATCCTTCAAAAAAAAGGATGAGACAAATGTCTTCAAAAGTCTCTAATCCACGATGCAAAATTAATTTTGGAAATCTTACTTTTCGGATCCTGACCCTCCAAACTTCCTGGTTTTGAGTGTTTTTTCCCCACCTGCCAGGTGAGGGTTGTTAGATTTTATGTCAGTTGCCTCCTCCTCCTGCTCCTGCTCCTCCTCCTCCGCCTCCTCCTGCCTCGTCCTCCTCTCCTCCTGCCTCCTGCCTCCTCCTCGTCCTCCTTGTCGTCCTTGTCGTCCTCGTCGTCCTCGTCGTCCTCGTAGTCCTCGTCCAACTGCGACCCGCGATCCACAGTGTTCGCTGCCGGACCTCAACCACGACCATCCACGACCAGTGTTCCCTGCCGGACCTCAACCACGACCAGCCACGCCCAGTGTTCCCTGCCGGACCTCAACCACGACCATCTACGCCCAGTGCTCCCTGCCGGACCTCAACCACGACCATCCACGCCCAGTGTTCCCTGCCGGACCTCAACCACGACCATCCGTGCCAGTGTTCCCTGCCGGACCTCAACCGCGGGTATCCATGCCAAGTGTTCCCTGCCGGACCTCATGTAGGAAGATATGGGACAAAGAATGTGCAGAAGAAAGTTAGAAAGAATGTCAGAAAGAATGTCAGAAAATATGCCAGATAGAATGCCAAATAGAATGCCAGAAGAGATGTCAGAATATATGCCAGAAGATATGCCAGATAGAATGCCAGATAATATGCCAGAAGATATGCCAGATAGAATGCCAGAAGATATGTCAGAATATATGCCAGAAGATATGCCAGATAGAATGCCAGATAATATGCCCGAAGATATGCCAGATAGAATGCCAGATAGAATGCCAGAAGATATGCCAGATAAATATGTCAGAATATATGCCAGAAAATATATCAGATAGAATGCCAGAAGATATGTCAGAATATATGCCAGAAGATATGCCAGATAATATGCCAGATAGAATGCCAGATTGAATGCCAGAAGATATGTCAGATAGAGTGCCAGAAGATATGCCAGATAGAAAGCCAGAAGATTTGCCAGATAGAATGCCAGAAGATATGCCAGAAGATATGCCAGATCATATGCCAGAAGATATGCCAGATAGAATGGCAAATAGAATGTCAGAAGATATTTCAGATAGAATGCCAGAAGATTTGCCAGTAAGAAAATGTATAAATATCATGGTGGGGATCACACGAAGTAAAGTAATTGTATGATTTTGGGACTAAATCCAAATTCAGTTTTGGGATCCTTATCCTCCAAACCACCTTGTTTACAGTGTATTTGCATGATCTTGGGACTAAATCTAGATTCAGTTTTTGGATCCTGATCCTTCAAAAAAAAGGATGAAACAAATGTTTACAAAAGTTTCTAATCCACGATGCAAAATTAATTTTGGAAATCTTACTTTTCGGGTCCTGATCCTCCAAACTACCTGGTTTACAGCAAATTTGCATGATTTTGGGACAAAATCCAGATTCAGTTTTGGGATCCTGATCCTCCAAACATCTCCCACTGATGCTACTGTAGCCATAATTAATCATGCACTGTAGCCATGGCCAAAAGAATTATGGAAACATGTCAATAGCAAATTTGTCACCCCTTTCAGGAAACAAATAATTATGGAAATGGTCCAGTGCCAAGAAGCACCCTTACATGGAAATCAAATATATGGAAATTTACCTGCAGCGCGTCACGGCCCTTCCAAAAAGGTTCGTTATACAAGTTATTACCGATTTTTGAGGTGTGCATTTTTATGAGTAAAAAAAAATATGGAAAAATACGGCCCGATGCGAGGCAGGTTTTTACCGACCCATGTCGAACCTTTTTTTTCATTTCCAAAATTCTGTCGGTGACCATAATCTGGAAACTGCAGTGTTTATATCATGATCAGTGCGGTGTGGTCGAGGGCAACTCGAGCAGTAGCCGGCTGTTTTCTATCCATGCAGGTGTTCGACAAGGGTGTGTCCTCGTTGTTTTTCGTTTCCACATTCCACTGGGCCTTGTTCCGTATGGCGGCACACAAAACACTGCATTTGAGCATTGATTTCAGTGCCGGACGGTTTCTTTGCTAGGCCTTAGTTTTGCCGATTATTTTTTTATGTTTGTTTTCACCAAACAGGACGCAATTGTTAGATGAACTTGTCACTGCGTTGGCGCAAGTTGATCTGGTCGTAAACTTATCGAAAACAAAGATTCTGACAGCGAAAATTCAACAATCTTCCTGGCTACAACTGCACGACGGCACACGCATTCAAGTCTTGTCGCGGGAAAATGACCAGAAATGGTTGGGTTGCATTTTATCTGCGCACAGAGTTGGCGGGCAGGAATTGAGATCTTCATTACCGTTTGCAGGCTGCATCTCGGGTTTTATATTCTCATTGTTGAACACACAATGATGTCTCGCTTGACGTATTTCGCAAATATGATCACCTCTCTTGCTTGGTTCGGCGCAGGGCACGGCACAATTTACCAAACTGATTTGCCAACAATGGATGTCGAAATGCGTCGGTTGCTGCGTGTCGTGGGACCTCCACCGAGCGCGTGGCCGTCCTCCGATGATGTGGTGGGATATTCTGTGTGGTTTTTGTCGAAGAGCCTTGCCGATTGGTTACAACACCCCGAAGAAAATGGTTGGACAAATGAGCTGCATCATTTCTCGTCGTTTTGCAACCCCAGCACGGCATCAATATATCATGTTGTCTTGTAATGTCTTGTACATACCCTCTGGTTATTTAATATAGCCATGGAAAATGGATGAAAATTGCCCATTTATAGATGGTTTACCTATTAAAAATGGTGATTTTCCATGGCTATGTTAGCCATAACCAAATGGTATATGTGTTTATCTGAGTCTCAACCGATGCCCTAAATCGGCAGCCGTTGACCTACAGGGCTAAAAGGCCTGAAGGACCTTCGACCGATAGTAAATTGATTTGTAGTTCCAGTGCCGATGCTACGCTACTTGAAGGTTGACTTGCATTGGTGATATTGGTCCTATGATGTCCTATGCTACTTGTAATTTGACTTGCACTTGCACTGCACAGAGCTGGGACAAACTTGCAAGTGGTGCTGGAAAATGAAGATTTTGCCTGCCATCCATAGTCCCAAGGTCACGGCGTAACCTAGTTCGTGTGTTATGTTGTTGGTCCATGTTTCACTGACACGTGACACTCGGTGAGTTTCGTTGAACGTTTGTTCTTTTGCGTTTACCTCTTTGATCCTCCAAATGTATACCCACCAGTTTTACCAAATGTACATGTTGCATCATGTTGCGCGCCAAATCGAACATTCCAGAGCACGTCATTGTTTGACATGTTCGTGGAACATATCCATGATTATCCATGTATCACTCCTCAACTCTGCTAGTTGGCCACAGGTAGCTTGTCGATATTGTTTCATCTTGTTTCAAACCAAACAATCCAAATACATCCAAATACGACAAGGTTTCATGTCTACCTCATTGCTCTGAATCTGTGCGTGTGATCTTGTTTTGGCTGTGGATGTTTTGAAAGGCTTTTAGGCATGGGGTACATTCACACGTTCCCTGTTCAAGGACTGAAGCGGGTATAGGATTATATGATTATATAATATTATATATAGATATTGTAGAGGCTCAGCACCTCCTTATTTGAAACACGCTGCCCGTCATCCCCCCCTCCCCTCCTCCGCCTATGGTACGTATATAGTCAGTAAGATGGCTCGCAGCTACAGTGCCTTTCGGCTACTCCAGAAGTCCGTGGCTAAAGTGGCCGAAACCGGCGACCAAACGGAAACATCGGAAACCGGCTACCACAATGGTCTGCCAACATGGCATCTGGCTATGAGTACCATGAGCCATGCCGTACCGACATTTTACCAGGCTGGTCCGTGGTCAATCCCGGCAACGCTGCCGCTTCCGGTGGCGCGGACTCGGAGTTTTCACCTCCAAACGCTGGGTTTTGGTTGTCGCAGAAATTTTGAAGCGGAACTTGAATCCGCACAGAACAAACTAGAAAAAACAACTCCAAAAGCCCGCGAACAAAACAAAAATTCAAAGCACTTGTTCAAAACATCAAGACGTCTGAACACACGACGCTCATAAAGAAAATGCTGTCGCTCTGGTTTTCGGGTCGTTTTGGTCGCTTTGCGTGTCTTGAATGTTTGTGGTTGTTTACGGTTTTTTTTGGCCATTTGCGTTGATTTGCAACTTTATCGCAGAAAACTGGGTCAATGACCAAATTGTTGGCCGATTGGAGGTCCAGGGTCCAGGGTGATATTGAAGTTTCAAGTGATGTTTTGAATTCCTGTTTTGCAGAAGTCTGACAATCCTAGTTCGTAGCGGATTCGTTGCATGTGTTTCATGCCGTTTTTGCTATGTCAATGTCTTGTAGTTCTCACATTGAAAGCATATCCCACAAAGCCTGAACTTGCCGCAGGTCCTTTTCCCCATTGGGAACCAAGATCATTACCCGTACCCCCTCTTGTCAAGTGTCTTTGTCATCTCTTGTCAGCCATTTCTGTTTGATAACTTGATGATCAGTGATGTCTCTGGTGGTTTATGTTCATCACTTTTTTGTTGTCTTCCGGATGGTTCTGGCCAAACCTGGTCGAAAACCGCCGACGATATAAGCTCCTGTTGTGTCGCAAATGTCCGGCGGATCATAGTGACGCTATGTGACGTTAAATGTCAAGCAAACGGTGGGAAAGCAATGGAAAACGTACGCCGCTACCGCCTGAGCCAGAGTTTGTATTGCAAATCAGTGGGAGTTGTTGCAACTTCTCTGGCACAATCTCAATTTCTCTGGAAAAGTGCTCACTGTTCACCGCATCTTATAATCTACACCTGCGGAATCTGCACATGCATGCACGTGCATGCACATGCACAAATGGACCTTCGAAGTTTGAAATTCAAGATAATTCCATTAATGATTCAAGACTTGCTCGCTGTTTGTCTTGAACATTGCTGTGCAATGCTGTTTTCGCCATTTTAGTTTCCATGTTGTGTTCTGTTTTCTGATGTTTTTTGCCGTTTGCTCGGTGATGCTCGCCGCTTTGTCGTGCTTGTTCGCCGTTTCGAAAGCTGCAACAACGTATATATCAAAATTGCAAAATGCAAAAATGTGTTCCGATTGGCAAGCATCGCTGTCACCAAAAATGAAAAATGCAGGTATTGTAGCTTATATTCCCCCACTTTTGTTGGTTACAGTAACCCTCTTCTCAACAGATCATCCAGTCTTTCCGGACTCGCTCCATGCGAGCACGGCACATCATCAGAACTTGGTTGGTCCGTGAATTGGCTAAATGGCTAGCAAACA